GCCCACGCCACTCTTCGTTAACTCAATATTAGGTTAAGATCAGTAAGTTGCTTTATTTTGTACTGTGATAAATATTCTTGGTTTATATATTTATTTGTTATGAGCAGCAGCAGCAGCAGCAGCAGCAGCAGCAGCAGCAATAATAATAATAATACAAAAAAGGAACAAGAAAGAGGAGGAGGAGGAGAAAGAGGAAAAGGAGGAAGAGAAGAACATGAGGAGGATGGGGAAGAGGGAAGAGGCAGTGGAAAAGGAGGAGAAGGAAGAGGATGAGAAGAGAAGAAAAAGAAGGAAGAGAAATGGAAGAGGAAGGGAAGAGGGATGAGGAAGAGGAGGAAGACTCTAAGGGAGGGTGACACAGGCTCTCAACACCTAACCTAGCCAATAAAGTGCTCTCTCTCTCTCTCTCTCTCTCTCTCTCTCATCATTGACTGTATGTGTGTCCATATCAGTGTTTCTGTACGCTTATTCCCATATGTATGAAAACACACACACACACACACACACACACACACACACACGTTAAATTTTTCAACCAATCCCCTGTCAGTATAGATAAGACCAGTAGCCAATAGGAAACCCTCGCTTGAATAAACTACGAAATTCTTACGTAGTTTTTTCCTTGCAAAATTACGATATCGTTTCAGAGTCATTAACCACGTCCTCAGATCGTACCTTAAGCGATTCAGTTACGTTCTTAGATCCCTAGTTACGTTCTTACAGCCCTAGTTAGATACGTTCTGTAACATTTTGTAGTTGCTGTAAATCTCAAGTTGATCTAATTACTATAGTTAACTTAATTACTACTGTATTTCCATGGGTAATTAACCACTGTATCCCCGACTGTATTTCTTGAATATCTACCCATAATAAAATACCATAAAATACAGAAAATACAGCCACACAATACTAGAATTACATAATTTCTATCTCTTGTTTTTTTTAATGGAGAAATACGTTTTTTTTTCTACACTAACTTAAACTACATAACTATAACTTTAAAGGGTTATTATAACTTTGAACACAACTCTAAATGCATATTGTTTGACCTGTGTTGTTGGTAATTATAACTAACAAGGGTTTTAGTTGACCTGACCTGAGTGACGATATGAGATCATCTGATGGGAATTTTTACTGTGTGTGTGTGTGTGTGTGTGTGCGTGTGTGTGTGTGTGTGTGTGTGTGTGTCTGTGTGTGTGTGTGTGTGTGTGTGTGCGTGTGTGTGTGTTTTATCAATGGATGGGATTATTTGTTTAATACACACACACACAGGTGGTGGGGTTGACCTGCCTCTCTCTGACACACACACACCACCTGTCACCTGGTCCAAGTGGTGATGAATGAAGCCTCCTATTATTAAGATAAGGCTCTTAATATTAAAATAAGACTCCTAATTTAAAGATAAGGCTCCTAATATCAAGGTGGAGGCTCTAAGTCTGCCAGGTGAGCCTTAAGGTGGCGGCAGAAAGACGGGACAGGTGAGAGACAAGTCATTAGCGGGAGCATCACCGTTAAGACACACCTGGTGGAGTTAATACGGTGCCAGTGCCACTACCAGGGCCTGCAGTGCCACTACCAGGTTCTGCAGTGCCACTACCAGGGCCTGCAGTGCCACTACCAGGGTCTGCAGTACCACTACAAGGGCCTGCAGTGCCACTACCAGGGCCTGTAGGGCCACTACCAGGGTCTGCAGTGCCACTACCAGGGCCTGTAGGGCCACTACCAAGGCCTGCAGTGCCACTACCAGGGCCTGCAGTGCCACTACCAGGGCCTGTAGGGCCACTACCAAGGCCTGCAGTGCCACTACCAGGGCCTGCAGTGCCACTACCAGGGCCTGCAGTGCCACTACCAGGGCCTGCAGTGCCACTACCAGGGCCTGCAGTGCCACTACCAGGGCCTGCAGTGCCACTACCAGGGTCTTGCATTGCCACTGCCAGGGTCTGCAGTACCCGACCAGGGCCTACAGTACCACTACCAGGGTCTGCAGTGCTACTACCAGGGTCTGCAGTGCCACTACCAGGGGTCTGCAGTACCACTGAGCCTGCAGTGATGCCACTACCAGGGCAGTGCCACTACCAGGGCCTGCAGTGCCACTACCAGGGCCTTCAGTGCCACTACCAGGGCCTGCAGTGCCACTACCAGGGCCTGCAGTGCCACTACCAGGGCCTTCAGTGCCACTACCAGAGCCGGCAGTACACACACACACACACACACACTGTAATAATTCAGTAGGGTTTATTTTGCAGTGGACAGGAGCGAGTTGTCGAGTACCTCTTGTCTCCAAACTAACCTAACCTGACCTGACCTGACCGCCCGGGTAAACGAGACCGACACACACACACATTCTTAAGAAAGTGACCTAAGGAATGTAAACAATGGCTGGAGGAGAAGGTAGCCATTATCGGATTAACCACAGGACTGAGAGGAGAGAGGGTGAGTGGGGTGAGGGTGAGTGGGGTGGTGGTGAGTGGGGTGGTGGTGAGTGGGGTGAGGGTGAGTG